TAAATAAATAAATAAATAAATAAATAAAATCTAACCCACCAGGGCAGGGCCAGGAAACTGATAGGTCAGTTAGTTATCTTGGTGAATTGCTGCTCTGGCAATTCTGCCAGTTTGGTGTAGTGGTTAGGAGCACAGAGAACTCTTAAATAAATAAATAAATAAATAAATAAATAAAATCTAACCCACCAGGGCAGGGCCAGGAAACTGATAGGTCAGTTAGTTATCTTGGTGAATTGCTGCTCTGGCAATTCTGCCAGTTTGGTGTAGTGGTTAGGAGCACAGAGAACAGGGTTTGATTCCCCACTCCCCCACATGCAGCTGCTGGTGTGACCTTGGGTCAGTCACAAGTTCCTTCAGAGCTGTTCTCTCAAGGGCACTTCTCAAGAGAACTCTCTCAGCCCCACCTACTTCACAGGGTGTCTGTTGTTGGGAGAGGAAGGGAAAAGGATTGTAAGCCGCTCTGAGACTCCTTTGGGTAGTGAAGGGTTGGGTATAAATCTAACCTCTTCTTCTTTGTTGCATAACCAATCCTTTTTCACTTGTTTTCTTGCCACCAGATGGACCTTTCAGTAGAAACTCTATACAGTTTAATGCAGGAGCGCCAGAAAAGGTACGCCAAGTATGCGGAGCAGATCCAGAAGGTCAACGAGATGTCAGCCATCCTCCGCCGCATCCAGATGGGCATTGACCAGACAGTCCCCCTCATGGAGCGGCTCAACAGCCTGCTTCCCGAGAGCGAAAGACTGGAACCCTTCAGCATGAAGCCTGAGCGGGAACTCAAGCTGTAGTCCTCCGCTCACCACCATATCACGGAGCCTGCTTGAAGCATCCTCGTGTGCTTGCCAGCCAAGGCGTTGCTTCATCACCAGAGCGCTGTGGCCAGAAGAGTGCACTCGGTTTCTGAGGATGGTAATTTCAAACTGGGAATAAAGCACCCTTTGGAGCATTAGCTCTTTCACTGTTTCTGGGTCCCCTGCCACATTCTGGCATCATGTTGTTTTATGAGGTTCAGGCCTCCATCCTCATTCTTACAGCAGTCCTACAGCAGTTTTAAACTCTCTTTTTTAAAAACTTTCAAGGAACTCTTGTCACATGACGAATCCCCGTTGAGCAAGCCCTGTGCTTGTGCCACAGAAGCCCTTCAGGCTGCAAAGGATTCTGGGGCATATTCTAAGGCAGTGGTTTTCCAGCTGTGTCCCTACGCATCATGAGATATCTGGGTGAAAGGACTGGAAATGGAAGTCAAATTGCTGCTCATGTGAGCTTTTTTTTGGGGGGGGGGCTGATTTTCCTCTGCCAGATGGCTGCTGGGGGTTGTTGGCTCCATTGTAGGGTGGGTTCTCTTCTTGGCCCAGACTGACCACAAGGCTTTACAAGCCACACTGCCACCCAGCAGAAGTTGAAGACGTGCCCCAGAATCCTCTGCCACATGCAAAGATCCTGCAACTAATGTGCAGGGGTTTCTTGTGGTTCTTTCCACAAATCAATGTGGAAGGCTTTCCCGGAGGACAGAATGGGTGAAAAACTACCATTCTAGGGCATATACTCTGTTCGCACAAAACACTGACCCGACCTTTTGGGCCTCATGGCGATGCCCGTGTGAAATCAGAGTACAATTGTAGAACTGGAAGGGGGGACCTTTTAGGCTTGCTAATCAGACCCCTGACTCAATACAGGAAATCCAAAGGAAGACTCCTAACGGATAGCTGCCCACCTTCTTCTCGAAGATCTCCAGAGAGAGTGTGAGTGCCTCCACCCTGCTGATTGTCTAATTCTTGCTATGAGGGAGATGTTCAGCTGCAGTCTAGTTGACTGTCACTTAAGACATCGCCTTCCCCTCTGGAGTAGCAGAGAACATGACTTTGCCCTCTTCCATGTGACCTGAAGAACAGCCTCACGCCCCCCCCCTCCTCCCAGTTTTACCACCTTCAGGCTCAGCATGCTCCGTTCCTTCAGCCTTTTCCTTGTAGGATTTGTTTCCCAGACCCCCAGCAATCCTTGTTGCCTACTTTTCAGTGTTTTAATGAGAACTCTGCAAATGTGGTTTTCCCTCAGCTGTGAATCCACTTATTTATTTATTTATTTTATGACATGTATACCCCGCCCTCCCCGCAAGCGGGCTCAGGGCGGCTTACATAAGGCACCGAGTGCGTTCAGTATACACATTACATGATACAGAATACAGAATTAAAACAACTTAAAACAGCTTAAAATCAGTTCAGCGGATGCACATATAACTCCTAACATCTTGTGTAACGGGGGGGGAAGGCTGGGGTAGATACTTCTTCTAGTATCTTCCCTAGTGCTGAAGTCAAACGGAGACGTCTGTCATCTCCCACACCCTCCTTTCCCTCCTCTCTGAGCATTATGTAGCACTGTCCCCTTTTCCTGAAGTTTGCGGTACTTGTCTATCTGTTTTTTACAGATGTTTTAGCTATCTGTAAGATGAAGCATTGTGGATTTATGTGATCACTTTCCTTCTGGTTCTCATACTTATGACCTCATCAGCCAGTTCCTTCACTATTAGTTAGAATCAAGTGAAAGATAAGTTAGTATCCTCATTCATTCCTGCATCTTCTGAACAAGGCAGCTGGCAGTAAGGCATATTTCTGAATAACATCTGTAATGGTGGGGAAACCTGTCTGTCAGAAGGGCGTCCACCATTGGTTACCTCACTGAAGGAACTCCAGGGGAGTTTCTGAGAAGCCACAAGTTTTCTGGTAAGGCAGTTTGCGAGGATGGTAATCCAAACTGAGAGCCAGTGGTTAAGTGCGCGGACTCTAATCTGGGAGAACTGGGTTCGATTCCCCACTCCTCCACTTGCAGTTGCTGGATGACCTTGGGCAAGCCATAGTTCTGTCAGAGCTGTTCTTGAAAAAGGGCAGTTTCTCTCAGAGCTCTCTCATCCCCACCTACCTCACAGGTTGTGGGGAGAGGAAGGGAAAGGAGATTGTAAGCCACTCTGAGGCTCTTGAGTGAAGGGCAGGGTATAAATCTAGTCTCTTCTTCTTTGAACAAGCTCCCCACCCTCCCCTTCTTCACCTATTTTGAAGCAGCACAGCACTTTTGAGTATTAGATGTAGATTAAAAGATGGACGAAGGAACTGTTTGGACTTTTTAAGGGAAAAGCTTTAGAAGCGGTCTAGACCCAGGGAAACTTGCAACTTGTGCTAATAACAGCTAGAGCTATTTTATGAGATTCTCTAACCTTGAAACCATTTGTGTGTATATATTTTATAGCTGAGTGTGTAAAATCAGAAGCTGGCTTATTAAACCCACCTAGTGTTATTTTAAAGAGGTTTTTGCGGCAACGGAAGTCTAGACAACCTTTTCATCCCTGAGGTTTCCCTGTGTATTTTAATAGGCTTCTTATTTTATGGAACTGTTAATGAGTAGGTGCTTGAGTCATGCGATCATCGCAGCTATGCTGGATCCGGGGTGAAGGTCTCCTGCACAGAAGTGATGTGCTTGGCCTGTCTTTCGTCCCGCCCCCTTCCTGAAGATCTTTGCAACTAAAAGGAGCTGTTTTTCTGGCTCTCGGCAAAAAGTTCCTTCCAGTAATAAGGCAGCTTCTTGCTTCTGTCTGGAAAGACAGAGGCTACATTTAGCCCCTCTCCAAAGGCAGCCGGAAAAGCCACCAAGCCCAGGACATGTTGGCTGGTGCCATTTTCCATGGGGTTTGGTGTATCTGTTCAGCGGAGCTCCCATTATATTTGCAAACAGTTCCGTGGCAAGACATTGCTAGTTTAGGCTTCCATTACTATTATAGCAGCAGAGCTTCACAACGGCACTGAACAGGAACTGCTGGTATTGTTAGGGCACTGAAGGCTGTATCTGAGTATCCGTATCTGTCTTAAAAAGGACCTATGTGGTAAGTGACATCACCTGAACAAGGCTGAACTTCCTCATATTTGCCACACAGAACATAACAGTTTTGGCCCATGGTGTAGCGGTTAAGAGTGGTGGACTCTAATCTGAGAGAACCGGGTTTGATTCCCCACTCCTCCACATGCAGCTGCTGGGTGACCTTGGGTCAGTCACAGTTCTCAGCGCTGTTCTCTAGTGAGCAGTTCTCTTAGAGCTCTCTCAGCCCCACCTACCTCACAAGGTGTCTCCTTCAGGTAGTGAAGGTCGGGGTATAAAACCAATTCTTCTTGCTCAGATGTGAAAATGCTGCTGTACTCTCCACTTCCTTAACAGCTGCTTACCAAATGGTAAAAGTCAGTGTGGTGTAGTGGTTAAGACTAGAGCAGCAGACTCTAATCAGTGAGAAAGGCAGACGTAGGGAAATAAATACTGTTTGGCATTTCTGTCTCCCCCACCCCCACCCACCACAACATTGACTCCTTCCTGTCTTCCGGGCACAGTTCAAGGCACCGGTTCAGACTTCCTGTTCTCTCAAGGTCTAAAAGACCTTCTTATTTTCTGGCCAGCGGAATTCTTAAAAAGAACAGCTGAGGTGGTCTTCTAGACTGTACTGCCCAGGCATCAAGTGCCAGCAGGACTTCTCCATTACTGTCCCGCAGTCGTGGCCCAGCCTCCCACTACAGATCTGTTGGCAGAAGAGCTGAGAAGGCATCCTCTTTGGGTTGGCATTTAACAGCCGGGATTAGGGAGTCATGTGGTAACTGCAGTTTCACTGGATATTTTTGTTCCTTGGGTTGGTTGGGTTTGTTCAGTCCAAGCTCTTGGGAAGAGGAAGACTGACATTCTAATCCCTGAGGCAAGTGGCAACTGGAGAGAGAGTGTGGTGTAGTGGTTGAGAGCAGTAGACTCTAATCTGGAGCACCGAGTTTGATTCCCCACTCCTCTGCATGAAGTCTGCTGGGCGATCTTGGGCCAGTCACGGTTCTCCCAGAACTCTCTCAGCCCCACATACCTCATAAGAACATAAGAGATGCCAATGTTGGATCAGGCCAAAGGCCCATCCATTCCAACACCCTGTGTAATTCAGTGGCCAGAAATACCAGTGCCATCCGGAGGTCCACCAGTGGGGCCAGGACATTAGAAGCCCCCCCCCTGTTGACCCCCCCCCCCCAAGCTCCAAGAAGACAGAGCATCACTTGCCCCAGAGTCCCTATCTATACCTTGTGGCTAATAGCCACTGATGGACCTCTGCTCCATATGCTTATCTAATTCCCTTTTGAAGCCGTCCATGCTTGTAGCCACCACCACTTCCTGTGGCAGTGAATTCCATGTGTGAATCACTCTTTGGGTGAAGAAGTACTTCCTTTTATCCGTTCTAACCCGACCGCTCAGCAATTTCATTGAGTGCCCATAAGGCGCCTCTTATGGGGAGAGGAAGGGAAAGGGCGATAGTAAACTGCTTTGAGACTGCGGTGGCTCAAGTGGTTAAGACGCTGAACTGCAGGCTGTGGAAGGTCAGTAGTTCAGCAGTTCGAGACCCGGGTGCCGCATGATGGAGTGAGCTCCCGTCTCTAGTTCCAGCTCCTGCCAACCTAGCAGTTCGAAAGCAAGAAATTGCAAGTAGATAAATAGGGACCACTTCGGTGGGAAGGTAACAGCGTTCCGTGCGCCTTGGTGTTTAGTCATGCCAGCCACATGACCATGGAAACGTCTTCGGACAGCACTGGCTCTTCGGCTTTGAAACGGAGATGAGCGCCGCAACCCTAGAGTCGGATTCGACTGGCTTTCGAGCAAGGGAACCTTTACCTTTTACCTTTAAGGTAGAGAAAAGCAGGGTACAAAAAAACAACTCTTCTTCTAAATCCAGATTCCATACAGGCTTTCACTGTCTCAGCTCGAGGAGGACTATCTTGTGGGGATGGCACAGTTTCCTGTAACATACCAGACTCAACAAATGCTGACTGTGTTTGGGGTTTAGAGTAAAAAAATGCTTCCTCTCCTCCAACCTGACCTTGTGGTAAGACTAGGTGTGATTTCACAAAAGGTTACAGCCTCACCATTCTGCAGGGCCGTCATGGCTTGCTTAACCTTCTGCATCTAACACTTTGGCCGAGGAAACATTTGCGGTAAAAGGGTACACAGATGCCTTTTCGTGACCTGCTGTGCTTCTACAAACTAGCCTGGGAAAAGGACAAGACTGAACACACCTGTATCAAGTAACGCATTCTCATCCAGTTTTGTATTTCACTAATTCTATAGTTTGCGTCTACCAGGAATTAAGTTTTGTGCTGAGAAAGAGTTTTGAATTGCTTATGGAAACCTACTTCCTTCTGGCTAGTTCTGTACCAGCTGGGTTTTGTTGTGGAGGAACATTTCAGAACATTGGGAGCATAAGGCATACCTTGAAGGTGTTCTACTGAAAAGGCAAGTGTTGTTTTTTTGTTCAAGTGGCAGACATCCTGACTGAGCAAAGAAGAAAAACCTGCAGAAGCAGCTGAAAGATGCCCATTCCAGGCTGGATTGGGAACGTATTTACTTTTGTTTATACCCTGCTTTTCTTCTCAGTGGGGGACCCCAAACCCTTCTCTGCTTCAGTTTATCCTCAACGACAACCCTGGGAAGTAGGTTAGGCTGGGAGAGTGTGCGTGACTGGCCCAGCCTCACCCGGTGAGTTTCCCCAGCAGAGGGGGGAGTTTCAAACTTGGGTCCCCCAGCTCCTAGTCTGAGACTCTAACCACTAGACTACAGTGGATCTGCGTCTGACTGCCTCCTCTTGCCTTTCACAGTAGGGATGGGGTCGCCCGTTTTCATCATCTTGCAGCGGAGTTATAAAAGTGCAGTTCTCAACCAGGTCTGGCTTGACTTTTTGCTGCTGTTTGCAGCCAGGAGGGTTTTAGCACTCATCTAATAATGTTCTGGATAATTTGAAGAAAGGCAGGTATGTGCTCCTTGTGGAGGGTCTGTTTGCTCCCTTTCCAAGAAGTTTAAAGATGGCTTTGAAGAATACACCTGTCCCTTTGTTTTCCAACTATAGTCCACAGAATTCTGAGATTCCTTGGAGATCACTGCAGGGCAACAGTTCTCAAGTGGTGGCTTGAGATGCAGACATGCATTGTGATGGGGGGGGGGCACAAGGCCAGGATGGGAGGAATGGGGGAAGCTGGAAGAGGAGATGCTGGAAGTTAGAGGACAAATCTGGGGTTGGCCTGCATAATGTGCAACATGGCCATAAAATCTAGTCTGTTACTCAGTGATGCTATATATTTATAGATACCAAACATGAAAAAAATATAAGCTTATTGAGTATTAACTGGTGTGAGATCCCTGCATTTTATGTCCGGGGGGGGGGGGGGGCATGCAGTTATTTTGCAGGCAGGTCCAGAGCGGTACATTACATTTAGAAGCGGGTTGCATTTCAGAAAGTCTGTGAGCCGCTGCAGGAGGATTCCTCCAGCAGTATCTAACAGTAGAAAAGCTTCCCTGACAGACAGCTTGCTCCAGGGACACAGGCAGCCTGGGCCGGAGTGCACGCCCTGATCTCGGGACAGCCGTGGCGCTCCCAAGAGCCGGCTGGCACCTCCTGGATTCTGACTGTGTGCCCCAGAATTTCCGTGTTGCTTTGGGATTCTGACAGCTGCCGTTCCCCCAGAGGTAGAAAGCTTATTGACAAAGCTGCCTTCCTCTTGACTGTTGAGGCAAGGAAACAGTGGCAGTTCTGCAGTTTGTACAAGGCTTTGTGCAGGTTGCCTTATTTGTGATTGCTGTTTTCTTAAAGAGCGGCTCTTATCTCTGTGCTGGGTCTGTGCTTGTACCACAGCTACTCCTCTTAATGTGAAGTGCAATCTCAACTTGAAATATTTATTGTTTTTGGCTTTGTTAATAAATAGACAGGTGAGTCATGCCAACTTCCTGATACTGAGAGGGAATGTTTATTTTAGAACCGCTGTCCAAGCACAAGTTCTGTGAGGTTGCTGGAAACACCGCCTGTCCTGGTTTCCCCAAAGCCCGCTTCCGTGGCCCACCTTCACCTGCCTTCGTGTCCCCTCGTGAAGCCCAGTCAGGATCTTCTTAGGAGACTGGGTTTTGCTGAGTGGCCTTAAGTTGTTGCTGACACAATGTAGGGATCCTTTAAGTGGTGATGTGTCCTAAAACTAGGCTCCATGGGGTGAGAGGTTTAATACTCATTCATGTATTATGATCCAAGGTCAGCTGAGTTTTAATACTGCAAACCTCCCACAAAGGAACATAAATAAGGCATCATGAAAACCACCACCACCAGTGTCCCCTCTGAGTTAGTGTGAGGTAGCTCAGTCTTTTAGCCTCCAGCTCACCCATTTTTGTCTTAGCTCAGGAAGGATGGCTCCGGAGCAAACTAATGCATGCAGTATCCAAATCGCTCGCTCACAACTTTAATGCCAGTAGCTCACAAAGGAGAATCTTTACTCACAAGACTCCACAGCTTAGAGGGAGCATTGGCCACCACCCCTCACCTTGGCGGGAAAAATGGACAGAAGCCAGTTCTCCTAATGTCTCCGAGGCCATGTGTATGGCTGTCCCCCCTGTGGCAGGCTTTTCCACCATACAGGAAGCAAGTGGTTAAAGAAATCCAAAATCATGAAGGACTTGCAGTAAGTTGTCATTCCCAGCATTCACGTAGTGTTTCACGGACACTAGCTCAGCAGTTCTTCAGCTCCTCTACGTAAGGAAGAACCAGGAGGCTGTGGTGATGCTGACGGTGACACCAAACAGATTGTTTCAACTGACCAGTGAGGTTGTGCTGGAGCCAGTTTTGAACCAAGAGGTTTTCTGCTTAACTGTTCACACAAAGAGAGTGCCCAGCATTCCCGTTCTATATATGAATGAAATCTGGCCAGTGTTTTAATGGAAGTAGAGAAGTGTTACTTAATAAGCATTTCAGTCACCTGACCTACCTTTCTCAGGAGAATTCCCAACCTCTTTCAACCACTAACTCAGCGTAATTTTGTTGCCAGCTCCTGCCTCATTTTGGATTGTAAAGTGATCAGGCAGATGATGTTCCCATCAAGTGATGACTTTCTCCTCCTCCCCCACCTCCTAAAACCAGTGTGCCATCGGCCTTTTGGTTAAGCATTAAATACGCATTTTGTGTGGAACTGCAGCTCAAAGAGTTATCAAGGCCTCCTGGTTCTGTGTTACTGTCGGAAAAGCTGGGAAATCCAAGCCCATGCACCTGCTCTGGGCCGAATCCAGTGACTGGTCCTGTACTGTCCACTCTGGCAGCAGTTTCCCAGGAGCTAAAGTGGAGACGGCAGGGATTGAATTTAACACGTTCTGAAGCCACCACAGCCTGACCAACTTAGTTAAATGCACACTGCTGCATTTTGTAGACAAGTTCGAGTGTGAACCAGCACAGTGCTCAGCTGTCCAAGCTTCCTGTATGAAATC